GAATTTTTTTTTTTGTCTCGAGGTTTTTAGGGTTTAACGGCAGAGTAATCCAGTAATTGAAAGCGCTTCACTGATATATCCGGTCTGATTTTCAACAAAACTCGGTATGGTTAAACCGAAATTTAACTACAATTGTCCATGTACTATTTGAACCGGATATCTCATTTTCTGATTGTTAAAGATAAAAGACCGGATTTTGATGGTTTAGCTTTTGATATCCGGTCTGATTTGCATAAGAAATAGACTTATGCCATTGAACCGATAAAATCCTTAAAAAGCAAATCAAAAGAGATTTTTTTACATTATGCATTATCTCATCAAATCTGTTTTTTATTTATTTATAAATTGACTTCCATAATACTCAAACAAAAAGCTGAGTTTTTGTAAATCCAATCAAATTTTTTCCTGTTTTAATTTCTTCTGTTTCAAAAAACACACTGATTACACAGTAAAAAGAATGAAGTTGTTGCTCTTGTGTCTCTCTTGGAAGCATTCACCAACGCAGCGTGGGATATCTCTGAAACTTGAAGAATCTTTAAACCGGGCTTCGATTTCTAAGCTTTGGATCGGTAACTAGCGGCATTTCTTCTCGCGCAGCATCCAACAAAGTAAACCATCGACTGTTGTGTGTTTCAACAAAGAAAACAACCAAATCATTTCTCACAAGAACAATTCAAGATCAGTTAAGTCGAAAAAAACTTGTTTTATAATTGTTGTAGACTTGTAGTTGGGATTAAAGATAGCTTACCAAGACAACAAACAGAACCACATTGAAGATCGCAACAAGTCGCCACTCGGTTTTCATGTACTGAGCTACTCCAGCTCTGCGGTTATTAATCAAACGAACAGAATAATTAGTTTATATCTGAAAATGAATGAGACCATTGTAGCAAAAGAGCTTTAAGGGGGAAGTTGATGGCTCTACTTGCAAGAATCACAATTGTAGCACTTGATGGTCCTCAAATTCTTGTAGAGCTTACAATCTTTGTTAGAACTTATCGAATGAAAGCTCAAGTCATAGTAAGAAGCATTCACCGCAGGATAACCACACCTTCGCATCGAAACAAAATTGAGACAGTTAAAGATTTTGCGGTAAATCAACAAATAAACAAGAAAGAAGAGGCATATATATACTCAGATGGTGGTCGACAACATCCAGCTTCTATCGGGGTTAATTCTGCGGATTTTAATTGTTTGATGGTCTGAAATCATTAGTAAAAATCAAGAACATTTCAAAGATAATCAGTGTCGAATATTCGGTAATATAAGGCATTTTCTTGGTGGAAAGATAGTAGACCTTGTATTTCTTGGAAAGCTTCCTACATTGCTCGGATTTAACAAGACAACTCTTTAGTCTTATCCAGTTACTGGTGTTGTTGAGCTGAAACATCAACGAGAATTAGAAAAAGAGAAAATGAAAGCAAAGTTCTTTACAATTCTATATCCGCGCCACGGTAAATTATAATACCTGTTTTAGAAACCATGAGCTGTAATCATTCAGCTTATACTCTTTGTACCTAGTTTGAGGTAGAAAGTTTCAAGAATTTTCCAATTTATACATTGAAGTAAGTATGTAACCGACGAGATATAAGTTACAGTTACCTTAAACCAGGGTTAGTATGGCCAGAACCATTGTTTGTTACAATGAACCTGTAAAACCCCGAAAAAGAGAGCAACAAATGAGGTCTTTAATGATTCAACAGCTGAGTTTTCATGATTAACCACTAGAAAAATGAGGCTTACGCTAGTACGGTAAAGACAAGAATCGCGATCAAAACGATCAGGAGGACAGCAAGATACTTCAAAGGAGAATCAATCATGTCAAGGAAGATTCAAATCCAAAATTTTCCAACAATAGAAACAGAAAACAGAACATGAAAAGTAAAGGATACAATCCAAAGAAGCGCCACACTTCTCTTGCACGCGCCAAGAAATCCGATTATGGATCTGACAAACATCAGATCATAGACATTTCATGAACAATAAAGCAAACACAAAAAAAAAAAAAAAAAACAAACAAACAAACATAAGGAAGAACCATTGTTGTGTAATGCCAATAGTGAAAGTAGTGTAAGAAACTCACATCAAGAAGATGAAACCACCAAGAGCTATGACTGGAAATGTAAGTGACCTTCTGCAACCATCATTGTGTGTACTCATCCACACCCCAAATATTATCACTGCCACAGCCAATAGCTTCACCAAAAGTGCATAGACATTACTATAAAGTTGCAGAAACAATCAACATTGAAAGGTAGAAACTTGCACATTATTAAACCTAAAGCAGTGGAATTTCACTAAGAACCTTCATAAGACAGAACCATAATCTAAGTTGTACGGAAACCCAGATTCTAATCCATTAAAGAGGAATCAAAGGACGATCAAATGCGGTTCTCAGAATTAGAAACTAAGTAAAGAAGAAGAGGTTTAAGCTAACCATTGTAAGAAGATTGACCCATCTGATAACGAAAGTGCTTGTGCCCATACCCATTTTTTCAAGATTCTTTCTTTTGAAAAACCCCTCCAAAGAATTAAAGAAAGACACAAAATTTAAAGAGAAAGATGCAAACTTTGGTTCAGGGTTCTACAAAAGATTGCAAGAAAACAAATGGGTCAGTGAGAATTTAAACTTCTCATGGGGTCTTTAATCAAAAGAAGAAGAAGAACTGAAGAACGAAAATGACTTGAGGGTATTTTAGTCAATAAAAGAAAAAACAGCTCATGCTTAGTTTCAGTTATCGATGGATGGGGTTTAAGAACAGACACGACACGACATAGTAATAAGAACAATAGGTCAATGTACAAACGTATACGTTTGACTCGTGCCAAATCCTAAAGAGCGACCGCTATTCGTTGTTTCCTTCTTTTCATAAAAGTTTTATTATTGGTTCTTTAATCTGTGGCAATTTCAAGATTAGAATGTGTATTACTTTTTCAGAGCATGGATTCTTTTGTCTGATGACCAAAAGCAAAAGATTAATTTGTCTTTCCAAAAATTATAGTTAAGTTATTTCAATTTTAGGATAAGTTTGTGAAATTTCCTAATTAATCCATTCCATTAAATTTGGACTCTAGATTTACTAAAACTCCACTAACCAAATTTGCTTGAGAATACTAACATTCCATTACACGAGATAAAACGCTCTTAAATATAAAATCTCTTTGATTTCTCTACTAAGAAATGTCTGCACGATCAAGCATATCAATCAAAGTCATTTTCCTTGGAAATCTAGGAGGAAGCCTCAAGATCATAGCATCTTCAATCTCGATCGGAAGATGAGTTGCGACAATTACAATCCCTCCTTTTTTCCTATGCTCTGCGATAATATACTCGAGCAATCTAACTCCTTCATCATCCAAAGCAACAGATGGTTCATCCAATAGCCATATCGGTCTGTCGATAGCGAGGAGCCTTGCAAGTTGCAACCTTTTCCTCTGACCCATGGACAACATTCTCGATTTCTCTTTCACCAGTCTCCCTAAACCCATTAGCTCCAATGTGGGTTGAGCTTTGCCGATTTTATTCTCGAGAAGCTCAAACCATTGGACATTGTCGAGTACTGTGAATCTCTCTTTGATGGCGTCTTTTAAAGAGATCCAGTTGAGTTGGAGTTTGTATTGTTGGAAAATTCCTGATTGTGTGATGTCGTGACCGTTCCAAAGGATTTCTCCTGCAGAGGGTTTTGAGAATCCAGCTAACATTCTCAAGAATGTCGATTTACCGGATCCATTTGTTCCAGTTAAGACAAGTGCACCACCGTCATGAAGAGATACATTCACGTGTCTTAGAATCTGCTGCGCGTTTCTCATGCAAGAGACGTTTTGGAGAAGAAGCCGAGGGATTTGAGGCCTCCTGATAGACATTTTGGGACAAGACTTCCGCCCCGATATCTGAAGAAATAAAAGTCATTAAAGAGGATAAGTAATCTATGAACAAAAGGCTTATGAATTATACAGATTAAGTTCAGAAACAAGATTAACAAAGAACAGAGAGCAATAAATCTATATAAGAAAAAATGATATAACAACCTAAATTTGAGAAAGAAAACAAACTATTCATTGTTAGTCTAAGTAAGAACCATTTGTAAGTGGTTTAACAGTTTAAGGACAAAACACAAACTTTCACTTGGATTACTCCAAAAAGCAAAGCTTTAAGGAAGAATAGACTCATGGTAAATGCTTGTATACATCTGTATCCATAGAAGAATCTACCAATTTCAAAACTGATAAAATTATCCAGATTCTATTGGTTTTGATCCTAGAGCTGACCACAATGCAAGCATATGATTTTGTTACAGCTATGAAGATCCAAAGCTAAGAAAAACAAAGTCGTGACACATCTATCATTTGGACTTTGGAGTTTGGACTTGAGCATAACAAAGTCACATAATATTCAAAAATTCCATTAACCCAATGATCCCAGAAGCTCGAATTGGAGAAGATAAATCCCAGATTCCAAAATTGATGAAATCACAAACAGAACTTAATCAACTGGTACTGTGAAGATTAAAACAGAGTATGAATGCTCAAATCTGATATTCCCAATGGCCATGGAACAAAATCAACCCTAAATAACTTACCGGAGAGGAACGACGGTGGTGTTGGTGATAAACGAGCTCAGATTGTGTTGAAGAAGATGCAAATGCGATTTCGAGAAAACGAAATGAAAATAATCAAACCTTTGGTTTAGGGTTTAGTAGAGGAGACAAAATCGACCTTAAACCGACCGTGAATTCTATAATTAAACCGGGTTAATTTTTGGTTACTCATGTGGTTTATTTTAACTTTTAAGACGCTTTGTGTTGTTTGTTTGCAAACGAGAGACACGCTTTGTTGTTTCTATGGTGGGACACTGCACTGCATACCGGAGATATTTGTATAGTTTTTCGCCGAATTTATGGAGTTTATTAGTATAAAAATGATTTAATGAAAAAGATAAAAATATTATCGATCACAAGTAGATTTTGTATAGAAAATCCGAAAAATCAAAAAAGCATATGCCGTATCAAAAGATTTGTATTCCGTTTTTACTTAAACCGACTCTACGCAAAAAAAAAAACCTATTCAACATTAAAAGATGGATAAAAAAAAAAAAACAAAAGCTTAGCACACCATCAGAGGTGAATCCAGAACAGAAGAAAAAGCAAAAACTTAGCAAATCACAAGTAATGGCAAGTCCCTCCTCTCTCTCAGAGAAGGATATGCAAGAAGCGATGAAGAAGCAAAACGAGGCTGCTATGTTCCTTGCGGGGAAAGTAATCTCTGCCCTAGATAGAAACTCTAACTTCGTCTTCTCTCCCGCATCAATCAACACCGTGGTCACCATGATGACTCCTGGTTCTGACGAGCATAACGCTGTCTTCAGCGAGATTGCTACCCTCGTCTTCGCTGACGGTAGCACGAAGGGCGGCCCCAAAATCTCAGTGATAAACAGAATTTGGGTCGAGCAATCACTTCCCTTTGATTCCTCTTTGAAGGATCTCTTGGAGAAATTTTTCAAGGCTACTTTTGCTCAAGTTGATTTCCGATTCAAGGTAATTTTTCCCTGTTCCTTAATCTTCTAATCTTCTAATTTAACCAAATAGTTTATCTATTGTTTTATTTAGTTAATATTCTTATAATGTTTTAGGGTTTTGAGATTTTTGTTAAACATAATAAGCTTTCAGTTTTGTAATAATCTTCTCTGTCATGTTTTGTTTTAAACTTTTAATGGAGGCTGGACAAGTGCGTCGTGAGCTGAATAAATGGGCTTCAGATCACAGCAATGGTCTCATCAGAGACCTTCTTCCTCCTGGATCCGTTAAAAGCGAAACCGTTCAGGTTTATGGAAACGCATTGTACTTCAAAGGAGCATGGGAAAACAAATTTGACAAGTCTTTAACCAAAGGCAACAAGTTTCACCTACTCGATGGCAAACAAGTACGTGTGCCTTTCATGAGAAGCTATAAAAGTCAATACATCAAGGCTTACGATGGTTTCAAGGTCCTTGGACTACCATACCAACAAGGCCATGATGATACCAAACGAAAATTCTCAATGTATTTCTATCTTCCCGACAAGAATGATGGATTGGATAGTCTTTTGAAGGAAATGGTATCTACTCCTGGATTTGTAGATAGTCACATTCCGAGATACAAAGTTGAAGTGGCTGATTTCAGAATTCCAAAGTTTAACATCTCTTTCATGTTTTTCACTTTGGATTTTCCTGAACTTGATTCATTGTCGTTGTACCATAAAGCTTGTGTCGAGATCGATGAAGACGGCGCTAAAGCTGCGGCTGTTACTTTTGGAATGAAGGAAACAGGCACTGGTTTTCATATGGAGAAGATGATAGATTTTGTGGCAGATCATCCATTTCTTTTCTTGATTAGAGAAGACAAAACCGGAACCATTTTGTTCCATGGTCAAATCTTCGATCCTTCGAGAAAGTCGAATTAGGTTAGGTCCTCTGGTAGTTTTGTGAGTTGAAACGAGATTGGCTCTGGTTAGTTCTGTTAAGAAGGTTTGGTTCGATCATTTTTGATTCTTCGGTTGGCTTTGATCGTTTCTGTTATGAATTTTTGATCAATAAAAACGTGATATTGATATTTCTAGTGGTTCATAATGAGAATTTTTGTTTCAGATTAAATTGCTCAATGCTCTTGAAATTTAAGCTGACGCTTAATCAAATCGTCTATTGAATATCTGGATTATCTAATTAAGTCTGATAGACAAAAATGTAACTGCTACATATCAAAAGTTTCTATCTGCGGTGATTTTCTTGAGAAAGTTCATCGCTAGGGCAAAAGCTCTGAGACAGATTAAAGATTTATTCCATTTCAAAGAATTATAAAAAAGTATTAGCTATAAAGGCCTTGGCTCTTACAGTTATTGCTTGGGGCACTCCCACTCCCACTCCCTTAAGTGGATGGCTGCGCCTTCTTAACACTGGCCCGCAAAAGGGATATGACATCCCCAGGCTCAGGAGCTCCAAACACCGAACTTCCTGCGACGATACAGTTGGCCCCAGCTGCAGCCGCTGCATCGATTGTGGAAGGACCTAAGCCACCGTCCACCTGACCCAGGAGATAGAACTCAGTTTAAGGAAAGATCAAACACTGTCTGAACGGTAGGATTGAGATGCCTTACCTCAATATCAAGTGTTGGGTACTTGTTCCTCAATGCCCGGACCTATATCAAGAATATCAAAAACTGAGGTTACAAGGGGATTTCAATAAGCAAATGGGATTTCGATTTGCAGAGTTGGAAACATAACCTTGTCCATCATGTTGGGCATGAATTTCTGGCCTCCAAATCCAGGCTCCACAGTCATCACAAGAACCATTTCAACCGGATTTGTACCTTCAACCTGTCATAGATAGGGTAAGCAAGTACGATAACCCAATTGCACTCTGGCCAAACAGAATTTTAATACTTCAATACCAGAGGATAGACTTGTTCAACAGGTGTTCCAGGCTTTAGAGCCACACCTGGCCTCATCCCAGCAGACTTAATCTTTTCCACAAGTTCTTGCCAATTCTCTGAAAATAAGCAAAACACAAGTCAAGACCGAGCATTAGGATGAGACAAAATTGAAGAATGTTGTAGGGGAAAGAGCTATCTATATATACCTTTGGCCACCTCAACGTGGAATGTGAAACCAGACGCCCCAGCTTTAGCCATCTGATCCACGTAATCCATGGGGTTCGTCACCATTAAGTGGCAATCAAGATATGCACTGTGATAAAAGGAATGATAAGTTTTCAAGGATATGAGTTCTCACTTGAACATGTCAGATATATTAATCAAAGGGATGTAGTGCATTACTTTGTGTGCTTCCTCAAACTCTCGATGACAGGAGCACCAATCGTTAGATTCGGAACAAAATGCCTGCCCGAGTAACACAGAATTATACCGACTGCATGCTCATAAGTCATAATCCACAGAGTAAAAAAACACAGCTAAAGCAGTAAACTTTACCCGTCCTGCAAATGAAATAACAGTGTAAGAAGTATGAAACAAGCAAAGGTTATGTAGCATGTAAGTCCATAACAAGAACAAAAATCAGCTTCTTGGTTGTTGTTTCATACTAAAAGCAGAGATACAAGTTTCAGATCATAATTCCACAACATTCAACACACCAGACCCTAGAGTGATTGAGAATCAACTTCTTTCCATTTTTGTTATAACAAATCATAATTCTTTGCACAATCTTGAACTCTTATCATATTCATATCAAAGGTGAAACCTTTAAATCACCAAGTAAGTAAATTTATAGAGTGGAATAAAAAAAATACAGATTCGGAGAAGAAGAAGAAGCAATAAAGTTTGTTACCATAATGTCCATGTGAAGCCAATTGGCGCCCAAATCGATCATCCGCTTAGCCTCCGCCGCAAGATTTGCAAAGTCCGATGACAACATCGACGGAGCGATCTTCGGTGACACTCCCACCATCTTCCCTGATTTCAACGACGACTGATTATGATGCGTTAGGTGAGAGCACTGAGAGAAGAGAAGCAGGGCCGGCCCATGGGTAAAGCCCATGAAGCAAGGGCTTTAGGCATCAAATAATTATAAGTAGTTTTAGGGGCATCAATTTTTAAAATGTTACTGTGGTCTAGTGGTTAGATTGAAGTATTTTGTTGTACAGGTCACGGTTTCGAATCCCATACATGTTAAAACTTGTATTTTTTTTTTATAACAGCTTTTGTTAATGGGCCAAATTTGTTTTTGCTTTAGGCACTCAAATAGTTTGGGCCGGCCCTGAAGAGAAGAGAAGAAATAAGAAAAAGCGAGCAATGGGTAATTGGGTCAACCCGTTAACCCGAATCTCAACCCGACCCAACTTGATTCCACCAAACCTGATGACGTGGCATCAAACACCAAGGATTAAAGAGGAGGATTAATAAATCATAAACCACTTCTAAGAAAGTCACTTAGACCATACACATTGCCAAATGTGTAATTGTGGGTGTAAGTAATTGTTTATTATTATAATTAAAAGAGAAAGAGAGAGAGAAATAGAGAGAAGAAATTTTTTTCTATTTTTATAATGCCTCACACTTGAGTGTAAGTCTACACCCGGTTTTTGTTGAAAAGGTAACTTTTGCAATATTTCTCAATTGTTTATAACTAACACCCGAACATCTATTGCTCCACTGCGTTTGCTCTTAGACATCTTGTCGAACACCATATCTACAATAACTAAAGGTTTTATACTTTAGTAGAGAAATTGAGCATGAATGCATGAGTCATAGAGTCATATTACATACACATTGATTGAATGATACATTGATGCTTGAAAGTTCAACCTTACACATAGATTCTTTTCATTATTTGTTTGGGTATAAGGAAAGCCCAATAATATATTTGATGGGCCGAGAAGTGACCCATGAAAGGAGGATATAAATGTTTTAGAAACATCCACAGGTTTTGGTGTTGGGTGGATATGCATTTGGAGTTGCAATTAGCTTCTCACTTATTTTTTCCACTTTGATAGATTCTTGCTCCTTTTGTTTCTCTATTTTTTCTCTTTTAGCTTCTGCAATCTTCTCAATTTCTGGTATTTTCTTCTTGAATTTTTTTGAGTATTCAGTTTTCTCCACTTCTAAACTCTCCTGGTAAAAAAAGAATAGACAGAAATAATTTTTAAATATACATGCATAGAGGAGACTATATGAATAAAAGTACTTTTCTATGATATTGTTTGTATATTACTATAAACGTTAAATAAATTGAATAGCTAAAGAAGTTGAAGAAAAAATATATTGAATAGCTAAAAATCTCTCTATACCTCCATTTTCTTCAAATCTAACTCTAGAGCTGTCTTCGTGTTATTCTCCCATGATTCAATGGAGCAAAGTTCTTTGTAAGCCCTGCTTACATTGATTCAAAGAACAAAATGTAAATAATATATTGATATTATAAAGTATAAAAGCGGTAAACTCGCATATCTTGCCACATATATATACTATATGTTTTGAATTCAATTATGGTCACGTCAATATTTCTGTGAGAAATTTGTTAGTAATTTGAATGCAAAACAATGTTGATCTTTATGGTTCTAGCCTCATTATATATATTTGGTTTGGTATCTCTTACTTGGTTTGAGCTTTTGCCTTCTCGTTCTCTTCCCATGCATCTATCAACGCAAGCCTCTTCTCTTTCTCTATCTCAACAAGTTTTTCATCTACATACAAAATAAAATAAAATAAATTGAAAAAACTTATAATATAAAATTCTAAATGCAAAAATCCATCCATATATATATATATATATATATATATATATATATATATATATATGTCAATCCAACTCCATCGTTGAACATTAATATGATTAATGAGAGAGGTATATTTAATAGGTCGTTGAGTCATGACGCTTTTCATGTTTACTTGTTCACAAAATTGTAGTCATCCTTTATTCCTTTATTTATCTTGTAGAAAAAGTTAGAACCAAGAAAGAAACTTACTATAAATGTATAAATATATTACACACAATTCACAAACATACTTTGACTTGAAGCCAAAATGATAGTACTTTGTTCATATAACGGAGAATCTTTCTGGACTTGTTTATTTTGTCCCATGTTAGGGTTTCTCTTCTCGTTCTTCTTCCTTTGTACTTTTGTGAGATTTTTACAGAAAAAAAATAAAACTTAAAACTGCAGTTAATTAGTAGAAACTAGCTAGTTACTCAAATAATTGAAAAGCATAATTAAACAGAAAGATATAAATATAATTACCTTTTAAAGATAAATTAAAGACAAGGAAAAGAAGTGAAGATCTTATAGGGATTAATGATGACTTCGAGTTAGTTGTGGGAGTTTTATGGTCGAATTTTATCAATATATACATGCCCAATATATTACATATATATGATATGTATGTCATCGATTTTTTTTACTCCAAGTAATCAACTAATGTATGGTAGGTGAACGGAAAACATTTACGATTAATTAATGTATTCATAAAAAGGTACTTAAAGGAAGCTCCAAGTATTGAGTTAATGACTTAGTTAATACTGTATAAAAGAATCGTAAGTTTTGTATAGAAATTTGATTAAAATTGTAAACATAAAAACTTCAGGTATTTATATGTGAAATATGTTTTACTAAATAATAGCCAAAACACTGATATTAGTGATCATATATTCATATTCATATATCCATATATATGACCACTAGTAGAACGACTTATTTTGTTATCAGTTTCAAAATAAGAAATAGAAAGTGTAAGATAAATACGAGGAAACTTTTTTTAGTATTTTAAAATTTACATATCTAAATCTTTATCAGTTTAGGATAAAAATGTGATCTTCTAACTATATATGTTTGAAACATGTGTAGTTAAAATCATATTTCTCTCTACTGTCACTTAAGTTTCTATATAATTCCAACTGAATTTTCAAAATCTCTATTATCAACTCGATTCAAAATTGTATCCGTTATGCATATGTCGTCTTATTACGTAGAAGACTAGAAGTTTGACGTGTTCTTATTTAATTAATTATGAATGACTTTTGGATGCTCCCTTGCTAAAATTATGAAGTCTTTTCATTCATCTACAATTCTATTCATAGATTATTTGTTTGTGTTTCCATCACAATCACAAGTGCTGCTTAAAAGAATAGTAAATTAGATTTCATATGTTTCAGCTTACATTAACGTTGTTATGTAATTTGAGTAAAATCTAACTTAATAAAAATCTATTTGGTATGTGTTTCTTTTCTTGTAGATATAACCGTTTATGTTTCTTTATCAAATTAGTAGACAAAAGTAAAAAGTGCCCACGTTTTCTCCTTTTATTTTCTTGATATGAAATGATGAATTTACACATCTTTAGTTCTCCAAGATGCTATGATAATGTTGAACGTTGTGTAAACAAAAACTGTCAAAGCATAAAAGCGAAAGAAAGAAAGAAAAGAAACTCACTTTCATGTGACCAACGAAGACACTATGACATCTAACCAAAAAAATTGATTATCTAGATAGTTCTGTTGATCGTATATATGTTAAGTGTATTTTACTATGTAAATGTAAATGATATTTTCAAAAACTTTCTTTCACAGTGAATTAGTCATTACTGATATTTGTAATCATATCATTTTCATGAATAATTTTTTTTAATAATATATATTATATGGACTTGAAGCCGATCGGTAGCATAGAAACGACATTAGCACAGTTTACCAAATTACATGTTCTCGTTGTTAGTATATCCTATGAATCCTACACTCGTTACATTTTAGATTATAAATTATGAATTAGAATCACATTTTAGATTTTAGAATCTGTATATATAACTTGGAAAGAAAGTCTTATCGAAATAAAGAATAAAAAGTATAGAGTATGAAACAGATGTTCAAATATATTTGTGATCCGTTCGGATCTACACATCCACATCTAGATGTTAACTGTTCATGTTAAAAATATATATATGTCAAAACCAAAAATGAGATAATAAATATTAAAATATATATTAGTAATTTGAGTAATGAAAAAATTATATATACATAATTAATACGTTGATTGATCACATGACCTTATAAAGCGAAAAGGTCTCTCTCGTACGACCACATCACATGTTGAAAGGGAGTCGAACATGAAAAACAAAAAAAAAATTACGAGACTAGAATTTATACTTATCTTATTTCTCAAGCTATCAATCCTAAAGCTAAAATTTAAGTCTTCTTTTCTTTTTTGGTATAATATAGTTTGGTCTTTATATTTGCTTATGCTTTTTAATCTTTTTTTCTCATGCATTTTATCTAATTATAGTCGGCAGATATAGATTAGATCGATCTATATCACCAAGAATCGGATTAAGAGAAATTATCAAATTCATATAACTCAGTAATCAACGGATAACCAAAGAAGCCTTATTCGAGAAATTATGGATACCCAAATTTTATGAAAAAGTTTGAAAATGAATCAAATATGGAAAGACGAACATTATATTAAATTATTAATCTATAAGACTATAACCTCAATTCTTAACATTTTAATTATCTTCTTCTCGTTTCTCCCTTCTTAAGTTCATTGTTGAATATCGGAAAGCACCCATGCGTGATCACGTAATCATGCATTAACAGAAAAAATAAATGATCACGTAATCATAATTCTAAAAAAGAGTCTAATGATATACAAGTTTGGTACCTGATATATAGAGATTATTTAGATAATATGACTGTACATGTGTTGTGTATATATATACTCAACCATATATATAGGCATCACTTTTACATTGATCATGATTTTAGTATACAAGATGTCAAGATCTCATTAAACCAAAAAAAAAGGTGATGATGGTGATTTAAAGGAGGATAAAGGGTATCTATTAGTTCATAATCAAAGATTATTGTTGAGAATTTACTTGAGATCATGACGACTAATTAGGTGTTAAGGACCATTCTCATGCCTATGTATATTATGCAATTTATATTTATGTATGTATTCGTGTCATTAATCCTCCATATATTGGCGTAATAATGAAAAAACACATCCACATCTTTTTTGGTTCATATGTACTTCTTAGTTGATTGACGTCTCTCTCCAAATCTGTCAAAAATAAATTGAGACAATGCAATTTCTTTTAACAAGTAACACTAACCTAAATTATATTTGTGTCTTAATTTTATCGGTAAAATGTATCCATTGATTAATCATATGATAATTTCACTAATAAGATGGTGCAAGATTGATCATATACATTCAAGTAAATAACATTCAATAGCTCCTTGATTGATATTATGCATATAATACAAGAAAGTAAGGCATGATTCGTCGGAAACTGCTTATTCCGAATATTTTCGACAACACTAAATTCGTCAAAAATAAAGCATCGATTGAAACTAAAATTCGTCAGTAATTACTAACATGAAAATTTATCGGAAATGTAACTGAAAAGTTATAAAAAAATTTCCCGCGAATAGCAAACAAAAGTCCACATCATCGTCGAAACTTCGTCGGAAATTATAATTTCCAAAACTGAAAAATTTCCGAGGACTTTATAATTAGAAAAAATCCAAATATAAAGCTAGAGATTTCAAATTAATTTAAAATATTAATTTCGATAGTAAAAACTAAAATCCACATTAAAAAAACAGCAATTATAAATCAAACGGGTTGTTGACTTAATTAGTTGTTACATTTTGAAATAAATAACACGACTGAAAATTTTGTTCATAAATGATGTTTTTCGTTTTGTGTATTAATGCTTCTGGGACCTCTGCACACAACTTCCCCATTTTCTTCAGAGCTTTGTTTAATTAGTGAATTTTTTTTTGGGAATGTGACCCCAGCACACATGTGCTTCTTGTTCTCTTTATTTAGAGCCATCAATGTCTTTGATACTGTATATATTTTTTTTGTTAAAAAGAAAATAGATCTGAAAGCTAAAATGAACTGTGATCTGAGATGTATAAGAGCGTTTTATTTCAATCGCATTTGGTTTAGTCTGGTTATTGTTTTTTACATATACATTGGTTTGATTATTTTAGTTAGTTAGCAGTACTAGATTCGAGTTTTGTATTTAAACAGTTTCGTCTACTACATCTGCAAAAAATGAAGATAAACTACTTTTAGAATTCATCTCCTCTTGTATAACAGTTTTGGATCTAAAATCTTTCAAAGATGCTTTAAATCAAATGGATAGTAGCTATAAATCTTATTTTTGTAAACATTCTATACACACCATATTATGAAACATATGGAATGACTTTGCTTTTTGCCAAAATTAAAATTTAGTTTACTGTAACCTACAACGAAGCAGAAAAATATAACCCACAAAACAAACTTAATCCAATGCTTTAGGAATTATAATATTCTCTCTGTTTCAAAATATAAGATGTTTTGGTAAAACTGTTTTGTTTCAAAATATAAGTCGTTTTCAAGTTTCTATGCAAATTATATATTATTTTAATATTTTATGATTATTTTTATTATGCAGTCTCTTTTATGATTGACTGAATTTTTAAAAAGTAAATTTTATTAATCGATGTTCTTTTAGCTAAAACGCCTTATATTTTGAAACGGAAGAAGTATAATTATTCTATATTTCTTGTAATTATTAATGGAAATGAAAGTAGGAATGTGGACATAAATTTTGTTCGACACCCGAAATAATTGTTATAATTCATAGAACCTTTTTCAGTAGGAGCATGGCAGTTTGACTGCACATTTTTCGATCTGTAATGTTATGGTACTAAATTCTTTCTTTAATTGCTTAAAGAACATTAAATTATACTAAAAAAGCTCTAAAAATTTACTAGGCAACTAGAATTTAAATCATTTAAAAAGAAAAAAGGTGTGACGTCAACTAAACTTGTGAACTAGGATGTCAGTCAAAAGCAGAGAGAGAGGAGGGCGAGACAGAGAGATATTTGTACTTTGTAGAACTTAGGTTGGAGCTGTTGAAACAGCTTACGTGATTTTGTTTTGTAAATACCTTAATTTATCAAAATTCTAAATTATCTACACGCATACTTAAATAAATGTATACGAACCTTATTGTTTGAATTATATAATCACAAGATTAGACAACGGTATATAACTTCATTTACATATTTACATATAACTTGAAAGTATAACTTCTTTTAGATAAGTATATAAATAAAACAATATTTACATATAACTTACAATGTATGCGAACCTAATTGTTTTACTTATATAAAAATAAGGCAAAGAAAAAAGGAGGTGTATGAGTAGGCACGCATGAGTGGCACGTGTGAAGAACAAATAAAGCAATGGCTAATTTTCGAAGCCAAGTATGCTCCTCAGAACTAACAAGATCAAGGTGTCAAAGGTGAAAGAACCATTACTTTATGTACCGTCAAAGGGCCAATTTTGCATATACACCAGTTCTTACTAACTCAATATACACCAATGGTTCTTTCCGAATGGTTTTATCATATTCGGGCGGCACATTTGGAATTACCCGTACGTTAATGAGGATAAAATAACTAATACTACTATACTAAAAAGATACTTGGAAATTCAGTGGAAATTGAAATTTCTTCTGTAGTTTGTTTTTTGCTCGTCTGTTATTTGTTTTAAAATTTTGATTATTGAGAAATTCATGATCTTTTATTTGTCAAATTGTTTTCATGTCGATAAATACATTTCATGTCACATTATGTTTATTTAATTCCCTCGGTTATGAATTAATTATTAGTGTCAGGAAGAAACGAAATATTTACATATCAATTAAAGTAATATTATGTATGTTTGGTATATAAGTTAGGCAGGTAAATATATATACGTATTCAAGTTGTTAGTTTTATTTCAAACACACTCGACCAAACCACCATTTCGTTACGAGACTACCCAATTTGGTTATGTATCTGTTTTTGCTTGTGATGTACGCATACGTACATGTTGTTCACAAAGTTGGAAAAAGTGTGCTAAATTGTAACTCTCCCTTAAATATAATGTGCATCCATATGTACTGATATACATGTATACCGGTATACGTTACGTCTAATCTAATTTATAGGGTCCGTAACAAGAGAAGACTAATTTATAAAATTTGAGATAGAAAAAGGAAAAACAAGAACTAAGGTTAAATACATATAAAATGTATGATTTTTCTTGACCATATGTAACATATATCTCACTACGTAGTTCAAACTCATCAGAATTAAACAAAAATTTATAACGTAGTTCAAACTCATGCGTTGGTGATTTGATTTCTTTTTTTTTTAATATAGCAGTCTGAATCAATTTAGGAAATTATATAACATTTTTGGTAATGAGATACTATAGTATATATAGTACATATATTGGGAGAACCGGAGATCGACCGAGATCGACGATCGAGATGATCGCCCAAGATTATGGAAATCATGAAGATCGAGAAGGATCTAGAAGATTATCATAACTTAGTTTAGGAATATTTACATTTATCTTTAAAGTATTATTTACATTTATATTTATCTTAAATTAGGAAACTTAGATTAATCTCAACTCTATATAAGAGAATGTATTTTGCAACTTTATTCTTATGAGAGTCTATTATAATTCTTCCTAAACACTTTTGTGTTCTTTACTCTCATCAATTTATCATGGTATCAGAGCCAAGATCCTTTCTGTAGATTTTGGATCCGTTACGTTAGCTTCCGCAAAGAAAAAAAAAAAATCAGTTTCGGGAACAATGATGTTTTCTCGCCCTCGCGATTTTAACTTCTCCTTTTGATTAAACTACTCGCCTTCGTGAGTTGTTTTTTTTTAGTCTCGCCATCGCGAGCAACATCCGAACCTCGCAATCGCGGGTGTTATTTTTATTACTTGAACCCTACGATCGAGTATAAACGTCGATGACCTAACGGCTGGGTTTTGTAGCCGCTTTGAACCCTACGATCGGGTATAAACGTCGATGACCTAACGGCTGGGTTTTGTAGCCGCTTTGAACCCTACGATCGGGTATAAACGTCGATGACCTAACGGCTGGGTATTGTAGCCGCTTTGAACCCTTCGATCGGGTATAAACGTCGATGATGACCCGACGGCCGGGTATAAAAGCCGTTATTCTGAAGACTTGTCCAATCTCAAACATGTAACCACGTATGAGCTTGCCGGGGGGTATTGGGAGAACCGGAGATCGACCGAGATCGACGATCGAGATGATCGCCCAAGATTATGGAAATCATGAAGATCGAGAAAGATATAGAAGATTATCATAACTTAGTTTAGGAATATTTACATTTATCTTTAAAGTATTATTTACATTTATATTTATCTTAAATTAGGAAACTTAGATTAATCTCATCTCTATATAAGAGAATGTATTTTGCAACTTTATTCTTATGAGAGTCTATTATAATTCTTCCTAAACACTTTTATGTTCTTTACTCTCATCAATTTATCAACATAGGATACCATATTTTTTTTTATATTTCCACAATCGCAATGGACCAACATCAGAGAAAAAAAAAAGGAGAAAAAGAAAAGTGAATTTGTTCTTGTTTTTTAGCTTTTTAATATAAGCTAACAAAATATACAGCTTGCTTAGATATACCCGCAATAGAAACATCATACAAGGTGGGGACTGGGCAAGTACAACAACACATATTCATTAAACTCTGATATGGGTGTTTAGTTTGATGTCCCAAAACTTATGATGATATTCGCATGTTCCATGCCCGAGGATGAAATTTCTATTTTACAATTATTATTTCATGACAGCTTATATTGACTCAAATAGATGGACCGGACGACATCATATATATCCCACCCACGTCTAAATTGAGTGTATATGGGTTTTGAACTGAATCAAATAAAATTTAGGTTCAATACTTGGTTATACTAAAAAAAAAGTGAATAGAGAGTTTTGAAGACTTATTTTTGTTTAAAGAACATTGTGATATATTGATACATACATTATCAACTAAAAGAAATGCAGAATAATGAATAAAATGGGTATTGTTGGGTTTTTAGTGTAATGTATATTTTGTGAATTTAAGATTCGTATCATGGTTATAATTTATAAATGCTGATTAGCACTATTTATGTTTACAAGCTTAGCTCATAGTATCACAATAATCGTTTTTATCACTAATTAAATATATATACTCTCCTATGGCCTATTTTGAACTAAACTATTATTGATTATGGATTACTATTATTTTTTTTACTGCATAGCCTTTTTTTTTTCGTCGAAAAGAATTTATATTGAATTATTAAAATCAGTACACAGAGTTTGAGCTATTAGCCCCGGTGGATTAACAGAACTAGAGACAAAAGAAGAATTATAACCTATTAATAAATATGAACACATTCCAACTAATTCCAGAAAAAATAAACTTGGATCCAATTAGAACTAGTAACTAATCCTAACATTGAAGTATTAAAAAATCCATATAAACAAAAAATCTCAGATATCCTTGATCATGCGACATATAATTGTCACTATAAATCAGAACCAAAATCCCAACAGTTGTAATTAATATTGACATAAGTGAGCAGCTTGATTGTTATCTCTCTTAGTATAGACAAGACAAATAGAATCCTTTCAAACTTTAAAGACCAATATACTGCATAGCTAAAAACATTTATTTTGAGCAAAATTGATCACATATAAACTATTGCATCGATATAATATAACGATCGATCATTATTGTAGTCATGTTTCTTTAAGTTTTTGCAGCAAAGTAGAAAGATATATAAAATAGTTTTTGACATGAGTGCATACGTATTAATATGTTGAAATCTGATATATTAATGTATACTCAAAATGGTATCTAAGTTTCCACATATTTTTCTTTGATTTAAAGAATAAGGCTATTTACTGATTCGTTGAGAAATAACTTTTGCTAAGCAATACATTTTTTGGTTAAAACATCATTTTCTCACTCTCAGCTATATTTCTAAGTAAATGTTTTCAAAGTATTATTATTACACTATTATCCGATAAGCAGATATTAAATTATATCAACGACCGTTGGATCCCTACTTTTTATATAAATGATTTATCTTTAGTTTATCGGGACTCAGCTTTGTAATAAGAGGACATGTAATTTTCTTTGTGTATCGATCACTGTTCCCCTAACCCAAAACAAAACCTTTTATCAATAAGATCATGTTTCCAAATCTGTCGGTCTATTTTTTATATAGATTTTTATAGGAGTATATATTTTCCTTATTTAACACCAGATATTGGTCAATGATTTTTCAAGACTAAATTTTAAAGCTAACACCGATTATTCTTAAGAAGAAACATGCATTTTAGCAGGGAATTTTCACTAATTTACCACAAATTAAGTATTTGGACCAAAGTCTAAGATTTAAGTAAAATAGTTTTAGTTTACATGAGGAATCATTGCACCACCTTGCTTGTGTTTGAGTAACTAATTTTCATTTTCGCGATTTATATGACTCTACTCATAATTATATATAGAGTTTTGAATGATTGTAGTGAAAGCAGAACTGAATAAACTGTTTTTATTATAGTAATTTAATGCAAATTTTAAGATTGATGATAATTTAATGCAAATTTTTAGTATTATAGTAAAAAGTAAAACCAGATTATAGCGGATAAAACTATTTCCAATTATGAACCAAAATTTATGAAGTGAAATAAAAAAAATGATCATGTTAAAAAAAAATGCACATTTATTTTGCTGCAATCTTTTGTTACTAATCACACAACTTTTTTAAAAAAGTTGTGAAATGAACATAAAAAACTGTTTTTAATAAAATGTATAAGATATATGCAAGTTTGATCTTCTTTTAATCTACTACTAACTGATACTCTTTTAGGCATAATAGAACAATTATGAAAATTATATATGTTTTTAACATATCCTACCAAATTGAAACGTAAAGAGTTTCCTATACGATACAGAAAAATATTATTAAATGAACTACTAATTTAATTACAATAAAAAAACGTATCGTCCTTTTACTTTTACTAATTGTTTATTAATCTCATCTCTCTTTAGATCTCTACTTACTTTTTCTTTTGTCCCATTTATATAAAATCCACCGCCCGAGGCTTAACGTTCGCGTCTTCTTCTTTCTTCTTCTTCGCCTTCTCTCTGAGTCGAACTCGCTCCGATCGACTGAGCTAACTCGCTCGCCTCTGTAATGATCATTTCCTCTTCATTGGACTAAAAAGTGTGTTGTATAATGGCTCGTTCCGGGAAACAATGGCCGGAGCGACGGTGAGAGAGTTACTATTTTTCCGGCGATCAATACTCGGCGGCGGAGATGTTTAAGTCAGCGAGATGGCGAAGCGAGAAGAATCGGATCAAAGTTGTTTTCAGATTGAAGTTTCATGCGACTCAGGTACTCTAAAAACTCCATTTTTCTTTTGGCTTCTTCATCGATTTCTCTTAGGTTCGAAGATTTGATGGATTTTTCTCGCATTGCTTAGATTTTAATTCTCCAGAAAAAAAAAAAAAGAAGTTGAGAAATCTGAATTTGGTATTTGATGTGACACATTTAGAAATTTGAATTTGAAACTTATGTTTGATTTATTAACGCAGGCGTCACAGTTCAATACAGAGGGATTGATTCTGTCTCTAGTTCCCGGAGATATTGGAAAACCGACGGCGAGGTCAGAGAAAGCTATAGTGAACGACGGACATTGCCGATGGGACATTCCGGTTTACGAGACTGTGAAATTTCTCAAAGATGTAAAAACTGGAAAAGTTAATCAGAGAATTTATCATCTCATTGTATCAACTACGGTGAGCAAAAAAAAAACAGATGTCTCAGAGATTTTGATTCAAAGATTTGGATTTTTTACTTATGTTTTGTGTGCAGGGATCTACAAGAGGTGGTTTGGTTGGAGAAACATCAATTGATTTTGCTGATTATGTAGATGCAACTAAAACTTGCAATGTTTCTCTTCCATTACAGAACTCAAGCTCTAAAGCTTTGTTGCATGTTAGCTTCCTCTATCTTCTTTTCGTCTTTTTACTCATTAATGTATATCTTTAAAGCTCTGAAGATCTCAGCTTTTTTGTCCTTTTTCTTTTAGAGTTTTGTAGAGTCTTTTAATTAATGGTTTTCTGATTTTTAGGTATCAATACAAAGGCAATTACAATTTGCTGATCCTCAAAGGTGCAGAAAACTAAACTCATCTATTGGTTTTTGTTTTGGATATTTTATGGAAGTGGCTTTTGTGTTTTTTTGAGTTCTTGCAGAGAGGTGGATGAATGTGAAACTCTGGGGAAAATGTCACAGGGTCAAGATTTGAAGTCACATTTCAGCATTGATGATGCAGATGAAACTCGTAAAAGCGATTTGCATGAGGTATGTTGATTTGGCTGATCGTTATGCAATGTGATGCAAGAGAGTTTTGGAGTTTCTCTTGATGTTTTCTACTGTCTTTGCATTTGTAGGAAGGACCCTTTGGTAAAGCTGCGCGGTTTGCGGAACTGAGACGAAGAGCATCGATTGAATCTGATAGTACTATTTCAAGCTCTGGAAGTGTCATTGAGCCAAATACACCTGAAGAAGTTGTCAAGCCTTTGAGACATCCCACTAAGCATCTTCATTCAGCTAAAAATCTGTTTGAAGAGCCTCGTATATCGGAATCCGAGTGGTCCGGAAGTTCTGATCATGGTATCAGCAGCACTGATGACTCGACCAATAGTACGAATGAGACTATCGCAAGGGACGCCTCGAATAACTCCTCGGATGAGGATGAGATGGAGAAGCTTAAGAACGAGCTTGCTGGTTTGGCGAGGCAAGCAGATCTTTCGGAGCTAGAACTGCAAAGCCTGAGAAAACAAATTGTTAAAGAGACTAAAAGAAGTCAAGATCTTCTCAGGGAAGTGAATAGCTTGAAGCAAGAGAGAGATTCGTTGAAGGAAGATTGTGAGAGACATAAAGTATCTGACAAGCAGAACGGAGAGACTAAAATGAGGAACAGGTTGCAGTTTGAAGGAAGGGATCCATGGGTTCTTTTGGAGGAAACAAGAGAGGAACTTGATTATGAGAAGGATCGGAATTTCAATCTCCGGTTACAGCTCCAGAAGACGCAAGAATCAAACTCCGAATTGATTCTTGCTGTTCAAGATCTTGAAGAAATGCTGGAGGAAAGGAGTAAGGAAGGAGCTGATCTTCCTCCTAGAACAAGGGCCTCTGTCAACATTGAAGAATCAATGAGAAGGTCTTGTAGAAGTGAGACAGATGAAGATGAGGATCAAAAAGCACTTGAGAACCTTGTGAAGAAACACGTGGATGCGAAAGATACACACGTCTTGGAGCAGAAGATCACAGATCTCTATAATGAGATTGAGATCTATAAACGTGATAAAGATGAGCTTGAGGTACAGATGGAACAGCTTGCTTTGGATTATGAGATACTGAAACAGGAAAATCATGATATCTCTTACAAGCTAGAGCAGAGCCAACTGCAAGAACAGTTGAAGATACAATACGAATGTTCATCGTCGCTTGTGGATGTGACCGAGCTTGAAAACCAAGTAGAGAGTCGTGAAGCTGAGCTCAAGAAACAATCTGAAGAGTTTTCAGAGTCTTTGTGCCGGATTAAAGAACTTGAAACACAAATGAAGACCTTGGAAGAAGAGATGGAGAAACAGGCTCGGGTATTCGAGGCAGACATTGATGCTGTCACACGAGCTAAAGTGGAGCAAGAGCAAAGAGCTATCCAAGCCGAAGAAACTCTAAGGAAAACAAGGTGGAAAAACGCTAGTGTAGCCGGAAAACTACAGGATGAATTTAAGAGACTCTCTGAGCAGATGGATTCAATGTTTACATCAAATGAGAAAATAGCTATGAAGGCGATGACAGAAGCTAACGAATTACGAATGCAGAAACGTCAACTAGAAGAAATGCTCAAGAACGCTAATGATGAGCTCCGAGCAAACCAAGCCGAGTACGAGGCCAAGCTCCACGAGCTTTCTGAAAAGCTGAGTTTCAAAACCAGTCAGATGGAGGGAATGTTAGAGAATCTTGATGAGAAATCCAAAGATATAGAGAATCAGAAGAGGCATGAAGAAGATGTTACTGCAAATTTAAATCAAGAGATCAAAATCCTGAAGGACGAGATTGAGAATCTGAAAAAGAACCAAAATAGTCTCATGTTACAGGCAGAGCAAGCAGAGAACCTGAGAGTTGATTTGGAAAAGACGAAAAAATCGGTTATGGAAGCCGAAGCTTCAGTACAGAGAGAGAACATGACGAAAATTGAGCTAGAGAGCAATATCTCACTAATGAGGAAAGAGTCAGAGTCTCTAGCAGCGGAGTTGCAAGCGGTGAAGCTTGCCAAAGATGAAAAAGAAACAGCAATTTCAAACTTACAATCAGAGCTAGAAACCGTAAGAGCTCAGTGCGATGATCTAAAGCATTCTTTATCTGTGAATGATTTGGAGATGGAGAAGCACAAGAAGCAAGTGGCACAAGTAAAAGGTGAGTTGAAGAAGAAAGAAGAAGCAATGACTAATCTTGAGAAGAAACTGAAGGAAAGCAGAACCGCGATTAACAACTTAACGAAAACCGCGCAAAGAAACAACAACAACAAAGGAAGTCCAGTAGGAGCTCATGGTGGATCTAAAGAAGTTGCGGTTATGAAAGATAAATTAAAGCTTCTTGAGGTATATATGCATCTACAGTATTCGTTTCAGTATTGATATCTTCAAGTAGATGATAAGTAGGGGTGTCAAAATGGGTAACCCGACCCGACCCGACCCAAACCCATATGGGTTCGAGTGTTTAATGGACGGGTTTGACCCGACCCATATATTTATATGGGTTGAATTTACATACTCAAACCCATTATTGTAGAAATCCATTGGCTTAATGGGTTATATGGGTACCCATATATATGTATAATAAAATATATAAATAATAAAAATCCAAAAAAATAACATAAAATTGTAAACCAACAAAAGTTTTTAAATAATAAATTAAAAAAATCTAGTTATTTTACTTTTTACTTTTATTTTACATATATTTTACATATATTTTACTTTTTACTTTTAATAATAAATAAATTAAAATAATATTATACATATATTTTACTTTTTACTTTTATTTTTAGGTAAAATGTAAACTTTAATAGTTATTTTAGATATTTTACATATATAGTTGTAAAGAAAAGAAGATATTTTACATATATTTATATAAATTTTACATAATATATCAATATAGATATATATAAATTTTACTTTTTAGTTTTGGTTATGAAACCCATGGGTAACCCATGACCCTAATGGGTTTTACCCATTAAACCCATAACCCTAATAGGGTAACCCACTAAAACCCATTTATATATATGGGTAAAAAAATTCTACCCAAACCCACTAAAATCATGGGCGGGTTCGGGTAACCCATGGGTATTAACCCATTTTGACACTCCTAATGATAAGCTTGTGAACTTGTGATCCAGGGGCAAATCAAACTTAAGGAAACTGCTCTTGAATCTTCATCAAATATGTTCATCGAAAAGGAAAAGAATCTGAAGAACAGAATCGAGGAACTGGAAACTAAACTCGACCAACTCGATCAAAATAGCCAAGAGGTTGTTAACTTTTTCATAATGTTGCAACCCAACAACATTGAATAACAGAAAAATTAACTCTTTTTGTTTTTTATTTTTACTGATGATGAACCAGAAGAGTGAGGATGAGCCTCTAAATGGTCAAGAAAACGAAGATATTCGAGTTCTTGTAGCGGAAATCACGTCTTTACGAGAGTGTAATGGATCGATGGAGATGGAGCTGAAGGAGATGCGAGAGAGATACTCAGAGATAAGTTTGAGATTTGCAGAAGTGGAAGGTGAGAGACAACAGCTTGTAATGACAGTACGTAATCTTAAAAACGCTAAGAGGAGCTAAAACCGGTATATAATCAGAAACCGGTTATCGTATATTGATGATTTCACAGTTACATAATTTGCTTTTTGTAATATACTGGAAAAAAAAACTTAAGATGTGATTACTTTGTTTTTTTTTCAAAGTAAAATCTGCATAAGTTTGAATCTTCTTGCTCTGTCTACATTTGGCAAGATCACTAAACTTGGTTTTCAGCCCAATGTTGTTACGTTTAGCACGCTGCTCCACGGGTTATGTCTCGAAGACAGGATCTCTGAAGCGGTTGCTTTATTTGATCATATGGTTGAAACGGGATGTCAACCCAATGTCGTAACGTTTACCACACTGATGAACGGTCTTTCCCGCGAGGGTCGAGTTCTTGAAGCTGTAGCTCTCGCTGTCGGATGGTAGAAAATTGTCATCAACTTGACCTAGTTACTTACGGAACAATTGTCAATGGAATGTGTAAGATGGGTAACACTGTGTTGGCCTTGAATCTGCTTAGGAAGATGGAAAAAAACCACATCCACATCAAAGCTGATGTTGTGATCTATAGTGCCATCATTGATCGCCTTTGCAAAGACAGTATTCGTCAATAATCTTGAGAGATTTCAGAGCCATATATACCGTTGGAAAACCGTCATATTTTCAGAAATGGAGCAGAAATATTTGAATTCATTTACACATACACATCTTTAGAAAATGGCATCAAGAACAGTCTTTTTATTTGACTTACATCTTCAACGCCCTTGTGGAAAGCCCATGTTTCTTTCCTCTGCAGCATTTCTTATTCTTCATCTATACTAAAATATTGACTATATTACTCACAAAAATCTTAATGCCGTCTTTGAAATTGATCCATAATTGAATCACTTCAAGTTTCTTTTCTTTTTTTGTTAAAAGATTTAATCACTTCAAGTTTCATGGAGACATGAACCAAAAAGTTACAGATACTCAAATCTTTGATTCTATTTCTTTTTTTTTTTTGTTAATCACCAGAGAAATCAGCTAAATGGACTAAAGTTTTTCTTTAGTTTAGTTACATGGTAGAGGCAATTTTTCTGACATGTTAATCACCAGTGGACATGATGCCTAGGCGCGGTTAGTTTTCGACGTGTTTAAAATTTAACACTTAAACTAATTTTTTTAAAAATTAAATTGACATAGTTTTGGTTTTAAAAACGTTATTTTTCTTAAATTTTAAGTGTTAAATTTATTTTAAATTTTAGTCAGAATCACTATTATTTTTAAAAAATGAGTTTAAGTGTAAAGTCTATATCACGTGAAAACATGCCGAACTTCGAACACCAAAGCTTACAGACCAACTAAGGACACGATGCCTAGGCGCGGTTAGTTTTCGACGTGTTAAATTTTTAACACGTACACAAATAGTGAAATTGACATGGTTTTTAGTTTAAAAACGTTACTTTCTTAAAGTTATGTGTTAAATTTGTTTTAAATTTTAGTCAAAATCACTATTATATTTTAAAAATGAGTTTAAGTGTAAAATCTATATCACGTGAAAACATGCCGAACTTTGAACACCAAATCTTACGGACCAACTAAGGATAGGATGTCTAAGCGCGGTTAGTTTGCGACGTGTTTAAAATCACTTAGACTAATTTTTAAAAACATTTAGTGAATTAACATAGTTTTGGTTAAAAAATCTTATTTTCTTAAAGTTTAAGTGTTCAATTTGTTTTAAGTTTTAGTCAAAATCACTATTATTTTTAAAATTAAGTTTAAGTGTTAAGTCTATATCACGTGAAAACGTGCCAAAATTCGAACACCAGCTTACGGACTAACTAAAGACCGGATGTTTACGCGCGGTTAGTTTTTGACGTGTTTAAAATTTACCAATTAGACTAATTTTCAAAAACATTTAGTGAATTAACATGGTTTTGGATAAAAAATCTTATTTTCTTAGAGTTTAAGTGTTCATTTTGTTTTAAATTTTAGTCAAAATCACTATTATTTTTAAAATTAAGTTTAAGTGTTAAGTATCACGTGAAAACTCATCTTTTTCTTTATCTTTAATTTCTCGTAGGGCTAATAGTAAGGCGGATAATCTGGCACGAAAAGTTCGTACAGAACCGCTTCATATCACCTATGTAAACAACATTCCTTAGGAATGGTTCTTTTGAGTTCTAATTAATTGCGGATGACGAAAAAAAAGTATCACGTGAAAACATGCCGAAATTCGAACACCAGCTTATGAAACAACTAAAGACATGATGTTTAGGCGCGGTTAGTTTTTGACGTGTTTAAAATTTTACCACTTAAACTAATTTTAAAAAAGTTTTAGTGAATTTAACATGGTTTTTAGTTAAAAATATTATTTTCTTTAAGTGTTAAATGTTCAATTTGTTTACAATTTTAGTGAAAAATTATTACAATTTAAATTAATGTAAAAAATTAAAAAATCTAATTTATTGAAATGTTTTAGTGAAAGTTTTAAAAATATGATGTTTAGGCGCGGTTAAAGACATGATGTTTAGGCGCAGTTAGTTATTGACGTGTTTAAAATTTACCACTTAAACTAATTTTTAAAAAGTTTTAGTGAATTTAACATGGTTTTTAGTTAAAAATATTATTTTCTTTAAGTGTTAAATGTTCAATTTATTTACAATTTTAGTGAAAAATTATTACAATTTAAATTAATGTAAAAAATTAAAAAATCTAATTTATTGAAATGTTTTAGTGAAAGTTTTAAACTATTTAATTTTGGTTTTACTTAAAATATTTTTTTATAGAAAATTAAAAAAAAAAAGAATAAAGAAAGTCATTCATTTGCAAGTCGTGTAGGTTGTGTAGGACTTTCCAAGAAAATGTTTAAAATTTACCACTTAAACTAAATTTTTTAAAAGTTATGGTGAAATTGATATGGTTTTAAGATAAAAAACAGTATTTTCTTAAGTTTAAGTGTTAAATTTGTTTTAAATTTTAGACAAAATCACTATTATTTTTTAAAAATGAATTTAAGTGAGTTTAAGTGGTAAATCTTTCACGTGAAAACATACCGAACTTCAAACATAAAACTTACGGACCAACTAAGGACAGGAAGCCTAGACGCGGTTCGTTTCCGACGTGTTTTAAATTTACCACTTAAACTAAATTTTTAAAAAGTTTTAGTGAAATTGACATGGTTTTTAGATTAAAAAAAAAGTATTTTCTTAAATTTTAAGTGAAATTTGTTATAAATTTGAGGCAAAATCACTATTTTTTTTTTAAGTTTAAGTGTTAAATCTATCACTTGAAAACATGCCAAATTTCGAACACCAAGCTTACGGACCAACTAAGCGCGGTTAGTTTTCGACGTGTTTAAAATTTTTAAAAATATTTAGTGAAATAAACATGGTTTTTAGTTTAAAAATCGTTATTTTTTAAAGTTTAAGTGTTAAATTTGTTTTAAATTTTAGTCAAAATCACTATTATTTTTAAATAATGAGTTAAGCGTTAAATCACGTGAAAACATGCCGAAAACATGCCGAACTTCGAACACCAGCTTACGGACCAACTAAGTACAGGATGCCTCAGCGCGGTTAGTTTCCGACGTGTTTAAAATTTACCACCTAAACTAAATTTTTAAAAAGATTTAGTGAAATTATCATAGTTTTTAGTTAAAAAACAGTAGTTTCTTAATAATTGTTAAAATATGTTTATAATTTAAGTGAAAAATCATTATAATTAAACTAATTTAAAAAATTAAAAATTTTAATTTATATAAATGTTTTAGTGAAAGTTTTAAATTATTTAATTTTAGTTTTACTTAGAATAATTTTTAGAGAAAAAAATAGAATAAAGAGAGTAATTAATACCTTGGATTGGTTACCAATCATTGGTAGCAAAGAAGGCCCAATGTGTAATCCACAAGAAGTCTTTCATTTGCAAGCGGTGTAGGACTTTCCAAGAAAACGTTTCATGAACGCAACCATTATTATGCTCATAATCCTTGTAAAAAGAGAGTTTTCATTACCTGGATTTATTGTGTTATTAGTATAATCCTCGTAAGTCGCAGGTTTCTTCGCCGTATTGATTATCAAAATTCTCCTATAATCAAAAATCAAATTGCACATGTTACTAATAGAATTTTCACATACGTTTAAAGAAAGTGGGTAAAAAAAAACATATGCCGGAATAAATGAAAACTGACAGAGATTTAAGGACAAATTTTTAAAATTCCATAACTAAAAACTATGTAGTCAATATTTCCCATGAGTAAATCGCAGACACAATTATGATTAATATGTCAACAAAACGATTTTTCTTGAACAAAATGATTATTACACTGCCAAAAATTGAAGAAGCTTTTAGTCTTGAACAAAATCGAATGAAAAAAGTATACACACGGTCTCGGCCATAAAACAGAGGATCAAAGAAGAAGAAGCAAAACAGAGAGCATTTGTGGAAACAAAAGTATCAGCAAGTGGAAGTAGCTAACTCTAGATATAGACGACAAATGTAAACTATAAATAGCAAGCAATATACGTGTAAAAAATGAAATTACAAATCTAAAACGTAGAAGAAACTGAGAATCACTAACGGAAACATGAAGATTATAACGAGAGAAAAGAGATGGGAACAGATCATACAGAGTTGGGTTTGTGATTCAGAGTAGGATCGCTATTTTCTGAAACAGGATCTCCAGTGCTCCGGGAAAAATAACTGCAAAAGAGACAAAAGCGATTCATCATTAATTAAAACTAAGAAACCTTAAAAAAATCAAAAGAAAGTTTTCCTAATTCAGCGGTGTTTAATCTGATTGATGGTTCGAGCAGAGCATGGTCGTGACTTATCACAGTGAAGGAAGAAGGAGAGAAACATGGACGACATGGTGAGGATGATGTCTCTCTCTCTCTCACTCTCGTCCTCTGAGCAGAAGCATAATTGAAATTTAAAAGAGAAGGAAGAGATGAGTTGTTGTTGTTAATGAAATTGATAGGGAGTATTTATATCAATCTTCACCAACTGCTATAAAATCTTCTTAAGCTTCATTAACGGCTATAACAACAACAACGTTCGACTGTCTTCTCATTATTGATTTGACAATTAGCCGTTGCATTAGTATTACTGATGATTTATCATTATTCCACTATTTACTTTTTCTGAAAGAAAACAAACTAACCAGGCCAAGAA